ATTTTAAATAAACTTTATTTCTTATAAATCTCTGTTATCTTAATGAATATAGAACACAAAACACAACCTTTAACAAAACATTTATCTAATAACTAAAATAAAATAAAATATTTACAACATTACGCAACACTGTACATTGTACAATCTTTTCTCACTTTCATTATCTATACTTGTCACAGCCTCTAGAAATAAATATTTTATAAAATAATTTAATACTAAATATTATTCAAATGACTGTAAAAAACAACTTTAGAATAGGCTTTTGCTTAAAACTAGATGACATGGTTTCTTAAAGTAAATGATTCTACCTAATAATTTCAAAAAATCTCCTAGAAATCCGTTCGATGTCTAGACAAAGAGTCTATATAACTCCAATTTATTCTATTTAATTAATCCATCATAACACGATATAATATTATATTTATATTTATTGCGAGCTTAGATATAATATCCTACTTTACAATAGCTATTATCGCTATCGCTTAAAGAAAACAAGAAAGTGGAAATGAAATTTCTGAGATTTCACGTGTTCAAAACGGGCAATTTCTAATTATTTCTATTTAAATAGTAAATGTGTATTAATTTTAATAACATATTTTGGTATTTAGAATTCCAGTATAAATTAAAAAACATGAAAATAATTTTTATTTCGTTTTCTATTAGTAATATCAATTACAGGCAACTTGTTGAAGGATACAGGATATATTTTATACTTGTTTGTCGTTGTTAGACTTAGAGTCGCGACTTTAAACATCATAATAATAATTGAAAGGAAATCAAAAATAAACCTTAAAAGTTTTATTATTTTAGTACTTTTGTAATCTTCCTCTAGGATATATCTCAAATTTTAACGCAGATACTATTTAACAATAGCTGTTATCTTTATCTTTATTAGGTAGTATAAATGGAAGCCTCTGACGTCACCAATATATTACCGGATTTATTGTTTGCAATAAAACAATTTAACGCCTTTAAAAGCAAATAAAATTATTATCAATTGTAATTTATTGAATTCACGCGTTACGCAAATGATTTTTGCATACGAAAATTGATAGGATTTTCAGGTCACTCAACCTTCATGGAGAACATTGCAAATCTTTTGTTCTTTTAGTAAACGCTAAATTCAAAGTTATCGAAAACCTTACCACATAACCGGTAATCAACTAAGTCCCGCCCTTATTTGTCTATTTAGCTTTTGAAATTGCCGACAGCGTGCTATCGTGCCGGATGTACTTAAGCGGATGATCGGTAAATAAAACGATATATTTTTGCGATATTACGATACATGGTGTACAATTTTAATAGATAGAACGAAGGAGATTGGTACAGAATCGAAGCTGCACCCTTACTTTCAAGATGTAAGTGATTTTGCATGCATTATGGCATACTTAAAATTAAGTAAGGTATTATGCTGAAGTTGGATTGATGAGAATTATCATTACAAATAAGGAATTAGGTGTGACGTGGGTGACGCTAAATTATCTTTTAATTCCAAGTGCATCTATTTAGATAAACGTCTGGCGGTGTGATTTTGATATTGCATTAATTAATCGTTGATTGATAACTTTCAATATATATAAGGAGTTGTGACGCACTTCCGCTTGAGCGCCTTACCTGTATCATTATCATATAAATGTCTTTAAATATTTTTTAACCGAATTACAGGAACCATTACAGGAAACATACAAGGATTTGATGTGATAAAAAAATTATGAAGAAAATCGACCAATAACTGGCGAAAATATAGCATAACGTAGCTACATAAAAGATAGAATTGAGTACCTCTCCCTCTTTGACGTTGGTGAAAAAGTAGCATACCAAACAAATCGCGAATCCGTTCCATAATTTATGTGAAAAAATCATGTTGATCCTTTACCTCGTATGTTTGTAAAAAGCAACAAACACCTTGCATTCATAATATTAAAGTAAAGGCCAGATAGGGGATGCTTGAGTACGTTTTAATTTATAGACGAGTATGTTCTATGTTTGACATGATTCCTAGAATTGTGTTTTTTTCATACAAAAAGTCGTCTCAGTGCTTATTTGTCCTAACAACCAACTTACCGAAAGAATTTTTAATACAAAATTATGAACTTTTAAATGTCAATTCTATTGGTATAAAATACATTTAAAAAAAACGAAAATATTTTTTTTATCTATAGATTCACATATAAATCTTAAAAATAAAGCTTTGCTTTAAAATAGAGGAAAAAACTATACTGTAAAGTAAAACAAGTATTGGTGGTTTGAACAAATACATAAGCACTAAGGTGACGAAAAACAGCTATGTAGTTCAATTTAACTACCATCCGACACGAAATTCTTAAAAGCACACTACGTGCTTATCAAATCGGCATATAGAAAAACAAAGAACCTCACTTTCCAATTTATAAAATATAGAGGAAAAATAAAAAATAATACTACACGTTGGCTTGCATTAACCGTAGGCACATATTATGTACTAGTGACATACTCTTGCTTCGCTCGGGTGCGTCCCTAGTTATGTACGTTTTAAAAAGATATACATAGTTATTGCGAGTGTACCTTAGGGGAAAGACTTATGCTATTGCAGATTTTTCTGTAGGTCTTTTTAAGACCTACAATTTTCTAGTACATTGTTTTGATGTATTTCTTAAGGTTTAGCCAGCGTTAGACATGTAAATTTCTAAGAACGACTCGATAGAACCATTTGTTATGTTTTCTCGTGAGATTAAAAGATTTTGCCTCTAGTAAAAGGTTTCCTAAATGTTGACCCGAGTAATAAGTTATCACTAAACAAAATTCAGTTAAAATCGGTTGAGTACTTTTTGCGTGAAACGCGCACATCGATATCGTTACTGTTTTATTATATGTATACAATATAGATTACTTCTTTATCGTCTTATTAACAGTATCGGCAATAGATTTAAAGAGATTAACTAGAATGTGTCAGTTTGGATGATAATTAATTTTTATTTTATAAATAAGTAATCTATATTACGTCATCAGAAATATTTCATTATCCTTATATTTGCCTTTTGCAACTGAAATGTATTGTAGCGATAATTTCAGATAAAAATGTCTTAAGTAAATATTTTTTTTTAAATATTTTACGCAATCAGCGACAAAAATGTCCTCACCGAATGAGCGCTCATTTAAACATTTGAGCGCGCTTTTAAGGGTCAATTTACATTATTGTATATTTATTTCAAGTAGAATAATTACGTAAACAAAATTGGTGACAGTTTTAAGAAAACTTTTGCATGTACGAGTAATTGTGTGTCTAGTACTTTTTGATCGATGTTTAAAACTCATTAAAACTTTACACAATATGAACTTAGTACTTAATTTAGTTATGTAATAGATTTCTTGAAAAATCAACAACAGTTGTAGAATTTCCATATAATTTTATAGAAATAGCTTTTTTTATATTTTATAAGTTTTAAAATGAGTTAAAAAGAAAAGTGAGATGCATTTTTTTTAATAAGTATTCCATACTTTCTTATAATAATAGCCACTTTATGTAAATATATTTAAAAAACCACACTGAATCTGATAGAAATCTAGATTTAGTTTAGAATCATATACATTTGAATATAAAATAAAACTACAATTTACTGACTAAAAATGTCGAATGTTTTCATGACTTCATGACCTATTATCTAGATAGCTTTCCACGAGGCGGTTAGGTCCCAACTTTAATTTCGTCCCCAACACACGTACGTAAATAGAAATATCTATTCATTGGGCAAATATACATAAATACAATACACACACACATATATATATATATATATATATATATATATATATATATATATATATATATATATATATATATATATGTATATATATATAAATAATTATATTTTGTCTTTTTTGTTAGTTAGCTTTCGCTTTCGTCAGTTCGCTTACCTATTTCTAGAACTACTAGTTTGATTTAAAAATTCTTTTTACTATTTCTAATAGTTGCATTTACACAACACTGCGACTCAAAAGAGAGGAACAATTTTATAAATCAGGGCTGTCCAAAGTTCCACTCGGTTCGCAGCCCCCGGCTAATATTTTTTAATTAAAATTACGAAAATAATTCCCGTCTTCATTGACAGATAAGTCATTCAAACACGCACTTCGTCTGGCAACAACTAATATTAATGTTGATATTGATAAAATTGTAAAATATAAATTAATAAAGAATTAAATAAAACTATCTTTTCGGATTTTGTCGCGGATTTATTTGTATTTTTGTTTCCCGACGTTTCGAATGCTTTACAGCAATCATGGTCACAGGAGAGACTGAGGTGTTAGATGTCTCTAAGGTATTATATAGTTGTTACAGACAGCCTACCCACAATTAACAAAATGAATTCAAAAAAATTGAAAAATGGCACTAAAGTACCTTACAATATTTTAACTTTTAACTTTACACATTTTTATATAATTTTAATTAGCTTTATAATTGAATATAGAATATTATTTATTTAATTTATTTTTTATTAAATTTTTTGAATTCATTTTGTTAATTGTGGGTAGGCTGTCTGTAACAACTATATAATACCTTAGAGACATCTAACACCTCAGTCTCTCCCGTGACCATGATTGCTGTAAAGCATTCGAAACGTCGGGAAACAAAAATACAAATAAATCCGCGTCAAAATCCGAAAAGATAGTTTTATTTAAAATGTCAAATATTCGCGTAAATCTAAGAAAGTATTAATAAAGAATTAATTAAACAAAATTTAACATCATCGCCGAAAAATCATCAATCATTTTCTCCGAAAAATTCATTAGTATAGGTATTTGTTTCTGCGGCCGTCCAATCTGTGCAGTGATTTATATTGGCCCGCGATTGTATCTTGTCTGGACAACCCTGATATAAATAAATTATGCAAGCAAATCGCAAGTCAAAGCTAGTTCTATATCAAAACTCGAATATTTTAAATAAATCGAATATTTTGACTAACAATGAAACATACCTATTAACACTTGACTAGTATCAATTTATAGGGTTTGCCTCTTCAATCTGTTTTCGTACATTCCTTGGTTTTATTTCCTAGGAACTTTCGTTTCAAATTGACCATCGTGCAGACTCCTTTGCTGACAATGCTTGATAGTGACGCAGAGAGATTGAAAAAGGCGGCTAGAAGGCCGATAGATCCAGGCACAGCGATGGATGCACATGAAGCCACACTCCGGTAAACAACGCGGTTAGAAGGCTGCAAGCTTCGGTAGTTGTCGATACCACCTACGTCGACTTTGCTAAACAGTTTGTACTGTAAAAGAAAAAGTACTTGAGCATTATCGTAAAATATTAGTGTATATAAGTTTTATGTTTTGTCTTCCTATCCGATTCCGTCATGGCAGCCATCTTTTAAGACTAGTCAACTAGGACATCTTAACATAAGTATATAATTTTTCGGTACGTGTGTTTGTCACTTTACTTCTCCTAAAGGGCTGGACCGATTTGGACGAAATTTTGTGTGTATATTTCAATGGGCTCCTGGATGGTTTGAAAACATAATTGGACTCGATAAGTGGGGCTGCTGTCGGTGTGTCAAAGAGTTTGTTTTTTAGTAATTTGAACGCTGACGAAGCCACGGGTACTGCTAGTATTATAATAAATATCCTCCCGACAGACTTAAGCCACCGAGGCGATTCGAGCATTCGGGACAGAAAAACCCAGTTGATGTTTTGGTCTGACCAGGAAATCGAACCCAAAACCTACCCACTGGGGTCAAGAGCCTATTTGTACTACGGTTTGTCACAATCAAGTATAGGTAAAGTTTCATCATCAAAGAAGGAAAAAAATGTTTTATTTGTTGCGCAGGATGGCTGTCATTACCTATTAATAGATTTTAAAATATAGCGCTTATCGTTTACTAATTATCTGTAGGTACTTTATTTTTATTTCCATCATTATAATATGTGATTGTGATAAATGTATTCAATAAGTGATTTACAATAGGTTTTTGTTAGATACTATCTATCTATCTATAAATGGATCATATGAAATTTTAGTACCGGCATATGAGAATAGGTTTAATTCAGTGTGGACAGAATCTTATAGATATTTTTTTATTTCTAATCTGTTTTAGTAATCGTTTTAAAAATGATTGTTTTCAGCTAAACAGAGTGACGAATACACCCATACCTATAAACAGAAAGTTTCACATTAATTATAATAGTAATCGATTCTTACCTGAGTATCAGAAATTATGAGAGGTTTATCCATCACTATCCAAGTGACCACTTCCTGGCACTGAGGTGTGGTGAGAGAGCCGTGGTACGTGTAAAAGGACTGCATGTTCGGGCTAAATAGGCGTCTGGTGAAATACAATAATATTTAATAAGTACAACACTACTTTTATACTAAAAAGGTATACTGACCTCAAAATGACTTTAAAAGTGATTTTTCTACCTGAAGTGGTCTGTCTTTTGAGGTATAACCAATTCATTAAAAAACATTAAAATCAGTTTCCAATGAGCGTAGTAATCTATACTTATATTATAAAGAGGTAAAGTTTGTGAGTTTGTGAGTTTGTGAGTTTGTGACGTTGTAGGGGGTAATCTCTGGATCTACGGAACCGATTTAGATGAAATTTGATAAGAAGATAGTTTGAGACCCTGGGACATAGGATATTTTTTATCCCGGAAATCATCCCTTAAGGGGGTGAAAATAGGAATGAAAGTTGGTATTGGGTAGCAAGGGTGACTCGCTAGTAATAAACCGTAAAACATAAACGTGAAGCGAATACAACTTTTTTTGAACTCGGTTAAAGAAGAAAGGTTGCGTGTCAAGGTCAAGTATGAAAACCAAAATATTGTGAGAGCGTGACTCAGAAATGTTTGTCGTATCAATTTCTGTGTAAAGTAGGATTCACGTAAAATGTAGGATTCGAATCTTTCGATAGATAACGCTATCGATTTAGTTCATCTTCTCATTTTTTATATCTCAAAATATTAAAACATATTTTGAGTCCCAAAAAACATCTTAACAAATACTGTTTTTGAGAAAACTAAAGTAGTTTTAGGAAAAAAGTTATCAAAATTAATGATTATTATTATTCCTATTATAAATAATTATTTATTTTTAATAAAAATGGCTTCAACAAATTTATTCCATGCTTAGATATACACATTTACTGTGTAAGAGATTTTCGCGGACATGAATACAAACATTCAGTTTTGTCGCTAACCTGCGTTACAAATTGAGACAAAGACAAAAATATATTTTTTTATTTCTAAACTTCTGGCGTGTGTTCGCAATTCTTTTTCTTCTAAACAACTTGTCCGATTTTGATGAAACTTCTTTGTGTACTTATGGGGTCATGTATGAGGACGACTCTTAGGTAGTTCGACCCGATGTGTTGCCTTATTGCGGAGATCCAGATTTATTTTATTTATTTCTACCAAAACGTCTGTCTGCCGTGTCTACTAGATACTGGTATACATATAAATATGTAACAATATTCTTGACTTACGTTAGATCAATGATGGATGGGGGAGCATAGCCTTCTCTTCTTGCTATGAGTTGCGGAAGTACTGGTTCAATCTCTCCCAACGCAACTTCACTTTCTTCGCCGCTATGTACCTGTTTTATAGTTAGATATAGATTTAATAATTTCTAATGAAATGCTACATAGTTAAACACGTTGAGTACAAAAACACATAATAATAATAATAATAATCTGAATTTCTTTAACTTCTCAATGTTAAACATAGACTACCCCTCAATTAATTCAATAGAAAGAAGGGTATAATGCAATGAGGTGGATCAGGCCATAGACCATCATGTTTGCCAAGTGCGGGTGAACTTGTGTGGGGGAGGAGAATGGAAGACTAGTTAAGTTCTCTTAGACATGCACGTTTCTTCACGATGTTTTCTTTCATCTTATGAGCATAAAATGGTAATGTAAATGTAAAAATTCGAACACAGAGTTCCTTTGAAGAGATTTTATTCTATTTATTTTATTGAAACCCTCGATAAAGTCTGATTTACCCTAATCAATGGTTTTATTCTTAGAAACTGAATAGTTATTTTTTTTTCAGCTGTAACGAAAAGAAATAAAACGCCGGTAACCGCAGCAGTGTTTATGTGAAGGAAAACACACTTCGTTTGCTTGCTACATTTTCTTATGTGTCAGTTTTAATGTTTTTATTTGTATACTGTAATTCAATGACATCTATACATATATTATGTAATAAAATTGTAACTAAGCCGAATTTGTACATTAAATATTTTTTGGAAAATCTTATTGAAATAGACACAGAGGCCAAATCTGTAGTTTTTAGATTTTTGTCTGTCTGTCTGTCTGTCTGTCTGTCTGTCTGTCTGTCTGTCTGTCTGTCTGTCTGTCTGTCTGTCTGTCTGTCTGTCTGTCTGTCTGTCTGTCTGTCTGTCTGTCTGTCTGTCTGTCTGTCTGTCTGTCTGTTACCGCATCACGGGAAACTACTGGAGGGATTTTGATGAAATTTGGTATGTTGATAGCTGGTTATCCGGGTCAACATATAGGATACTTTTTACCGCGGGAAAATATCTGATTTCTGAAAAAAAAACGAAAATTGCAATGTAAAGAGTATAGTAATAGTAAAGCCTTAGAATTTGGTTTTTGGTCATCTGAACTCGGGCGGAGCTGCGGGCAATGCTAGTTTATATTATAATATTTAACATTTATACATATTTCATTGAAAATAATTTTATCAACGATATGGTAAATTTTTAAGTAAGTAAACAATTTTATATGTAGCTCGTGCCTCGTAACAAAGTTGGGGCTTGTTGAAGCAGTGTGGGAATTTAATTATAAGTTTTCACATGAAACTGATAGGTTGGTAAACATTTCAGATTAAATATGAAAATGCTCCACCAGTTTAATTTTACCATTAAAAATACAATAAACCTGGCCAGAAATTTCCTTTTATATGTTAAGGTATACTAGTTAGTAACCGACTTCAAAAGAGGAGGATGTTCTCAATTCGGATGTCTATAATTTTTTATGTATCTTTGGGCATAAATAACTCCGTAATATATAGACTGATTTGCTAAATTCTTTTTATGGCCCAAAGAGGTTTATTCCGAAATGCTTCCATTTAAATTTGAAAAAAAAACCCCTAAGTGTAGAAAATAGGTATGGTAGAAAATAGGCATAGTATGATTTTGCTACTACTATGTGTACACTAAAAATGGAAAAACAAAACTTCGAAAATTAGTAAATGAAAACTGCCAATCAGTTATTTTTTTCTTTTTAGTGTTTTTTTAAATGGGTTTGTATTTTTTTATCGTTCGAAAATTTGATAAAATACAACCCCTCCCTGTGCGTTTCTTAGCTTCGCTACTACTACTGAGCTGTTGGGGGGGGGGGGGATAAAATACAACCCTAAAATAGGCACTGTGTGTGTATGTTCTGTTATATAGAATGTTTTAAATCATTTTAGAGGCTTAAGGACAATTCACTTATTAAGTCTTTTGTTTCATTCAAGAATTTCTTATGAAAAATACTCATAAATAGCTTAATATTCCACTCCAATTTTTAAAAAGAACAGTTATATTAAATAGTTTAAAGGGCTTATGTTAATTTTCAATAACAGAATAGTTTCATAATTATTACCTGGCATAGAATCCCGATAACAACTAAGCCGTCAGGGCGTTTTATAGCTTCCTCCACCGTCAGGCCAGTCTTCATGTGCACCATGTGGATTTCCATGGGGTATCTAAGATAATTAGAAAGCTATAGTTTTTAAGAATGATGAATAAGAAATTAATTAAAGAATATTAAACTTATATATTTTTTTATACCGAAGTGTTGTTTATAAAAATATACATCTAATGTGTTGTGTTTCAAGCGTCGAGTCGGTCGTCAAGTCTTTTTAATTTTTATCAAAAAAAGGATCGACTTCAATATTATTCAAAAAAAAAGCACCGTTTGATTGGATGGTTGTTTTTATGACACCTTTAGATGGTACCAATTAATTAAAAAAAAGATTATTGAAAATCAATACACTATAGCGTAGATAATGTGTATGTATAAAACATTGAATACCTCCTTTTTAAGCTAAATCTATAAAAACTGTGGTCTGTGTAAGATACTGTAGTCTGGAGTAATACACTCTCTGAGTTACAGATTAGCATTCAAGGGAAACTCTTGGAAAATCCCATGTCTCAAGTCCATGCCCCTTATGTTTATAATATATATGTTGTTCTGGAGAAATCAGATCGAACAATAGACTAGATTTAGTCGAGATTAGTTAAAAAAGTACATATATTAGAACCTTCTCTTATCTATACTAATATTACAAAGAGGTAAAGTTTGTGAGTTTAAGGGGTTAATTTCTGGAGCTACTGAATTGATTTAGATGAAATTTGGTAAGAAGATGGTTTGAGACCCTGGGGAGAACATAGAATATTTTTTATCCCTGAAATCATCCCTTAAGGGAGCCAAAATGTTCATATACATTTGGCAATACCTGTAGGGCAATTTTATATTTGTATACTACATATGTTATGAAATTACGGTCCTATTTTATCCGATGTAATTATAAATCCTTCAAGGTTTGCTTGCTTTAGTAAGAACGTGTTGGGACTTAACTTTATAATCCTGCTACGTCAATTAAAATGCATTTGCCGCTTCGCTTAAGTGACTGTAAAAATTTCTCCAATACGTTTTACGGTATACTGTTCCATCACAGAAAAATAATAATAAATGACATAAATAACATAAATTATGAAACATAATTTATGTTATTTATGTCAACTTGTACTTGAAAATTATTATTTTTTGAGGATCTCTCAAACGTTATTTCATGACTTTAATGCATAAGTGTGCTATGTGTTCTATAATGTACGTCTACTACGGTATGTACGGTGGACGGATACTTTATTTAGTTTTATTTTCTACAGGAACGATTTATCTTGATTTAAAATTAGTTAATGAGAATAAGTTCATAAGTTTTCTTTAGATAGGTAGGTAGTTTAACTAATAGATATATTGTCGACTATAATATAGTTTCACATTTATAATCCTTCCTATTTAAATACCTTTTTGATCTAGTTGCTTCGAATCCTAGTTCAAGAAGCTAAAAAATAATTATTGAATATCTATATATAAAAGAAAGTCGGGTTAGTTTCACCACTTATAACTAAAGAACAGCTGTATCCGATTTTGATGATGTTCTCTTTCTTTGATTTGTCTCCGCTCCGAATTGCAGAATATCTGTTAAAACATCGGAAAATTCACGAAAAATAATTTAAACTAAAGAACTATTTATATCTATTTAAAGTACCTCGGGACACATCCGAGCGAAGCGAGGGTAAGTTCCTAGTCTACAGTATTTAAAAAGGAAAGATTTGTATTTTTGTATGTTTGTAACGAATAAACTCAAAAACTACTAAACCGATTTAGATGAAATTTAGTAAGAACATAATTTGAGACTCTGGGAAGGACATAGGATATTTTTTATTCCGGAAAGCATACCTTAAGGGGTTGAAAATGGGGATGAAAGTTGTATGGGGATTCAATAATTTATAAAGAAATACCAAGTGGAAGGCCGGAGTTGGAAAATTAGCGGTGTAACAATAAGATTGTTTTCCGTGACTGTAAATCGGTTATGAGAGTATTAAAATGAATTTCTTACTCATATACATACTAATATTTTCATATACTCGTAGGTAACTTACTTCATCCCATCAATCGCGTGTTCGGACAGCCAGTGTAAATGGAACTGTATGAAGCTGTAGTTGCCGCGTAGTGGACCACCCGATACTATAGGATTGGGGTCGTCTTCAACTATTGTCCATTTCACTACAAAAAATTATTTAGTTATAATATATTTTGACGTTTCGGTTAATTGTAATAATAATATTAAATTTTTTTTTTTAAATAAAACCATTCAAAATTACTATAAATAATATTATTCCGTTCATGGGTAGAAATTTGTTTTGAAAAAACGTTTTATTATGTATAAGTTTTTTAAATATTAAATAAATATTTACACGTATGTCCGTCGTTTTCAGCAGATGCGTTGACACTCCCATATCCTCTGAACACGAGCGGTCCTTGGATGTGTACTCCTAGTTTGTCAATCACAGCGTCCCCGCTCATAATGTTTATTGGAGACTGTTGCGTGCCGGTTGTACATTGGCCAGGCCATTCGTTTTCATCTAAAAAGTAATATTTCGTTAAAAGTAGGTCCACCGTGTCTTGTTGTTTCTGGTAATAAATATTAATTTGACTTACACCGCTAAAGATTTTATTTGTCAAAATGATTCCTACTCGGATTATTTTAATCAATATTTATTTGAATTAGGTCATATTTTAAATTTGTATTTTAATTCTTTTTTATTTATTTATTTTCATTCAGACACACGCCCATATGTACAGAATATATCTCATTATAAACATTTAACAATTAACATTTAACACTAAATTGAAACAGGTAAATACTAACAATAAATTGAAACTTAATACTATTACTCGTGGGAACATAATTTTAACAGTGATAACATTTTTTTTTTCTTTTTGACGTCCTAATAGGTTGGTACGCTTTAATGACATGCGAATTTATCATCGACTAAATATAATTTTAATAGATACATTAAATAGTTAATAAATTTTTGAATTTTAAAAATATATAAGTTGTAATTGAATTATACGATCGTACTTACAGTCGTATGACCAGTCATCCTTAGTAGCAAAACCTGTAACAAGAAAAAAAATTAATAGAATATACGTTTTTATGCATTTCCTTATCGTGTGGGGAAGTCATAATCAGACCTTACTCCATCCTCTACTCCTGCCAATGTCAAGACAATTCCATTCTTAGTCAATCTAAACAACTCTGCGAGCTAGATGACATTCTAAAACGCTACCGGTTATAGTAAACTAAAGGATAGGTATATGAAAAAACTAAATATTTTGGTTTATCAAAATATGTAATTCGTATCCTTTGTTGCGTTTTATGTTCTGGCCCATAAGTCTCATATAATCTCATGTCAATGTGAAACGTTTTGTAAAGAGGTTTAAGGTAATAAAATCGATTTTGTGTTAACATTTTTTTTCCTTTGCTGAAAATATGATTTAAAATATTACTCATTCTGATGATTGCCCCTCCTTACTTTTTAACTTATTTGACTAGATTACATTTAGTATTTTTTTAAAACAATATTGATTGTAAATCTGATGACCAATAAGTAGTTTAGGCTCTTTAGAAATCGAACCCATATTATTCTTATTAAAATCATTCATTTTATCAGAGTTCGTGGATTATTTATATTGAAAAATATAAGAAACTAGCGATTCACCCTTGCTTCGCTCGGGCTCATCCCGTCATAATCATTTTAACGGTTAGTATGGAATAGATAGACTATATATTATATATAGGTACAAAATAAACAGTTCTGGACTTTTTGATGCTCCAGCTGTTTTTCTTCTGGGTTTTCCTTATTTTTTTATGTTTAAACTATCACCGACACACCCCCGACAAAACGAAAAAATAATTATTAAAATCGGTCCAGCCGATTTTAAGTTTTAGCGAGTAACGAACGGCAGCTGATTTTTATATATGTAAATATAGACTATCTGACCCGACAGACCTTGTTCTGCCAAATCAAGTGTGTAGCAGGCCCGATTAGAAAAATTGTGTTTTTTACGTTTTTCCGGGTATTTTTATCAATTTTTCTTTTTTTTTGCGAATATTTGAATAAAAAATAGCCGAATTAGTCCAGTTGTTCTCGAGTTATAGCGATTCATTTTTATTTATATTAGAAATGTTGCCATTCTCCTTAATCATGTTTCCTAATAACATTCTTTGCTTTATGTACATTAATTACCCCACCGGCAAAGAATAGTCAATGAATTACGCACAACATTATTTTGATCTGCATGATCAAACATAGGTAGAAACTATATAAACGTACAAGTTAAAATAAACATAAATAAGTTGAATATGTAACATTTTGGTCTCTCTCCGAGCTCCCTCGGGTAATGAATACGTGAATCCTTAGAAAATTGGATGCGAATTTTGAAAATGAATTTGCTGTACAATATATCTTATTTCATATTTAATATGTTAGTTTATACCCGGTTTTACGTAAAATATACTCAAGCATATTGAAATATATTTGTAATTAAACTTTTTCTATCTAAGTTAAACGTTATATTTATTTTTAGTCTATCGCAAAAACAAATGTAGATAATTAACGTCAAAAGTCGTGCGATTATTTCACAAATTCAATCCATAATTAACACCTCCAGATAAATTTCTAAGAAATTAATTAAAATTCTAAGAAATCTATTGTTAACTGACACGCCGGCGTGTCCGCGATCGTGGAGGGATTAAAAACAGATTTACGCTCAAAGTTTCTATAAATATTATTTACAATCATTCTCACATAATTACTTTGAATACAAATATTTCATATTCGTACGGAATTCTTTGTACAGAAATCCGGCTCGCACTTGGTCGCTTATTTATAGTGTGAAATAAATAGTAGATATAATAGGCGAGAGTTAGTGATCGAATAATCCTTTAGGTCAATTAGTTTAAACTTCGTAATTACAAAGGAGTATCAATGCGCCCGCGCCGCGTAGACTGAACAGGACAGAAGAGCTTTATGCGTATTAATATTATGAATGGCGTATCCGTCGATATTATATGATGCTTATTGATTTTTGACAATCTAATATATAAATTCTACTAATTTATAAATATCTCGTGTCACAGTGTTCGTTGTCGCACGCTTCCGAAACGGCTCGACCGATTGTAATGTTTTTTTGTATATTTGGTAGGCATGAGAATGGGTCGTAAAGTATTTTACATCCTCCTACCCCCGCTTCCATTATTATATAGCAGAACAACGTTTGCCAGGTCAGTTAGTTATAATAAATTAGTACGTTATAGTTAATTAGTTATAATAATATATGACTTCTTAACTATGAAGTGTTTGAACTAAGTGATGTATTCCCTTTTTACCTTCTGGGCACGAGCCTCCTCTCAATACATATTCAGGATCAGGCCATAGTCCATCACGCTGGCTAGCTGTGGTTGGACTTCTTATGTCTTCCGAAGACTTACTAGGTTCTCTAAGACGTACGTTTCATGTTGGAAATGATTGGCACATGAGAATATCATAGGTACGAGGCCCGGGATTTGAACCCGCTTCGCATGATTTCCCAAGCGAGCGCGGTGCGTGGGCTACCGGTAAGTAATACCATATAATAATTATAAAGAGTCTAATCTATAAGTAAATCTTGTATAAGTCTTAATATAAAAAAATAGATACAATAATACCTATTTCAGTACTATCCGCATGTAATAAGTTCGAATCCTAGATCGGGCCAAGTGAAGTTATTTGGGTTTTCTATGAAAACGTTTTTAGTCTCTTCTCGACTAATGTCAATTAATTTAATAAAAGGTAATAAAAATAAAATACTTTCATGCACATAAATACATACATATGTATATGTTATGTATGAATTATAATATTTAAGGTATTTATCAGTTACAATATTTATAAGATAAGAAAAACAAACTCGCTTTGATTTGTTGAAAAGTCAAATACACGATGATGGAATTTTTCATAGTTGATTTATTAAATGTAGACAAAAGATTACAATCGCCGCGCCGTCTTGTTTTTTGATATGTGCTTTTACTTCTTAACCAGCCTTTGCCCGCGGCTTTGCTCGCGTACTTTTTAGACTCAACAAAAAAACAAACAATTTTAGTTTATATTATATAACGTAAATGTATGCGTATAGATATACTACACTAAGACATTAGGTAGGATATTCAGTTATCTACTAATAGATTAGTATACTGTATATCTGTCCGTCTAAGACATACTGTTGAATATCAATATTTTGTTTAAAACTAGCGTAGTAAAGTGCCCATACTTTATATTATTTACGCCCTTGTACCTACCTATTTCCAAGCTCTTTTGCAACACAAATAACAGTGGACTATATTTTTTGCATAGATATTGTTTGTAAGGACTAAAGAGAGACAGCATGACTTTTTTGACCAGATCGGGCGTGTTCTTTTTTGAAATTGATGCAACTTCTTAAAAAGTTTATAATATCTTTAACTCTTAATGTCAAGTATCGCTACAACTAACACTAAATAATTGTAAAACCATTTACATTCTATTTCATGTTTAAATACATTAATCAATGTACCAAAATGTGTGGTCCACAGGGAGCTTGTTGCGACGGTTGTAATCTGCGGTGAGCATGCATCACAATCTACACCTGCTGTATGAATATTTGTTAGCACCAAACGGTATGTAGTGCGTGGGGTGCTTGCGAAACCGAGTGAAGCGAGTTCAAATCCCGTGTCTCGCACCTCTGATATTTTCATGTGCGAATCATTTCCAACATGATTACCACTTTTCTTAACGGTGAAGGAAACATCGTGAGAAAACGAAAGAGAAAAAGAAAAAGAAAACCTGCATGTCTGAGAGAACTTAGCAAGTTTTTGAAAAGACATGTAAAGTCCGCCAACCCGCACTTGGCGAGCGTGGTGGACTATGGCATGATTCCCCTCACACTGAAGGGAGGCCCGTGCCAAGCAGTGGGACGTTAAAAAGGGCTGAATACATTATATATCACTAACATCATAAAGGTTATTGTTCAGGACTTTTCATACGATCCTAAAAACGCACAGGCACACGCGCAGGCGTATACTTATTACTTACGACTTATTCTCGCTTCGCTAAGGTGGGTATCTAGTATCTACATATATTTTGTATTAAAAACATACAGCTGGCTTTGCTACTTTTTGACAAATCTTATCGATTACTAAGTGTTGAGTTTCTTTTGGGTTCTTCTCAGCAGAACTGCCTTGCGAGCTGGCAATAGTTTCCTCACGGACGTGCATACTGACATATAATTTAAATTTAAAATGTATAGTTGTGTATAATAGTGCTTGTATAAAAGTGTATTTGAATAAATATGTAGGTATATTTTGATTTTTTTGTTATTACGCCAGATTCGTCTAACCGTTCCGAAGAAACACACATACATATTTTTGTATTTATGATAATACTCGTATTTTGATAAAATTAACAAATCGGAAACGTTCTATTAATATATGTACCTCATATTGGTGTCCTTTAAATTCAATAAAATTTTAAAATATGAACTTCGAACCAAAGTTTAATGCCAAGTTGAAGGTTGAAGAAATACCATATTTGGATAATCAAGATTAAATACCCTATTCGATATGAGCATACAATTTGTTTATCAATCGTTAAATTCCGTAAGTATTTAACGCCATGACAAAGATAACTTCTGGGAGATGATTGAAAAGCAGGAAGATGACTCAGTATGTTTTTCAGGGCTTCTCAAACTGTTATCTCTAAATAATATTTATCAGCTTTCTTGAAATATATTTTTTATAGAAATTAGAAAGAATTATGACATTTTTTTAACGTAACAAACGAAATTTCTAAAATTTATGTGATAAATAGAGTATTACAAATCATTTTGAGTATCGCCATACCTTTATTGATTATAATAATAATAGTATATAAACAAAATAAAAATAATCTCTTCTTCTTACTAATATTATAAATGTGAAAGTTCACGCCAGAACGGTTGAACGGATTTGGATGTTTGACACAGAGATAGATTATAGTCTGGAATAGTATATAGGCTACTTTTTATCCCGGAAAAATGTACGGTTCCCGAAGCATAGATTTGTTTGTGATTTTCTAGAAGCGAACCCGAACGAAGCGAGGTTGAGGCGCTACCGCGAGTCTATAATATCGCAGAAAGGGTTCAACGACTTAACTTAACATTGATTTAAGCTAAAAGTATTTTTTATATGCGGCTTAGTTCAGAATAGATAATACTTTGTACTACTGATCTTCAGCAAAACTTTTATTAGCATTTCGTAAGAAACAAAGCAAAAAAAAAAGAATTCCTTGACAAGAAACCAATCGTTTGGAATGTCTTTTGTAGATAAGTAAGAATTGAAAATGAGATCCTGTAGGTTTTTAATATGCTGATACGTGACCCTTAATGTGTATAAATTACTCCCGGACCTAAATATACCGGGATAAAAAGTACCTCTAGATACTTTCCAATGGAATAAGTATCTCTACTAAAAATCACATCAGCCAATACAAATAGTTTCGTATTTAAAATATTATTAAGAATTATGAAAATATATATTGAAATATATTGAAACTAGCAGAAAAATCTTTATGAATTTAACATTCGATGGCTACTTCATGCGAAACTCTACAATGATTTCAATAGCTTAGAGCATAATAGGTAAGGTTGATTTCATTTGAATACTTTATTGGATAGCGTTCAATAGTCGTTCACGGTTTTAAGAGAAATATAATATGTAATGTATTTTCTCGTGGGAAATAGGTAATTTTCCGCGGTAAAATGTATGTTAAATCTATGCTCCTCTCCAGCTATCAAACTATCTTAACACAAAAAATCACGCCGATCCGGCACTCTGCTTCGATGTGAAAGAAGGACAAACAAACACACTGTCTACTATGGTCGACTATGCACGTAAGGACGGTAGAGCCAGTTATCAGAATATCATTTTAAAATTTTAAGTGCGTCAAGAATTTCGAATCTAAAAGTGTCTTGAAACTATAAGAACTTTAGTTAATGCCTGAACATTAAAAAAAAATTGATTTTTTTTTGATAAACTTCGTAATATAAGAAGAATATTAGTCCCGCTGAGTTACTTTCGCCAGTTCTTCTCATGTCTGAGGCTTCTTCTTTCCGAACTGGTAGTAGACTCACGACGTTTAGTAAAAAAATTTAATATTTTAATGCTGAATAAAATATTTTGAATTTTGAATGGTTTGAAACGGTAAAGAAATTTTATTGTTGTGCATTTGGGTAAATTGTACGTAGCTTTAAGTTTAGGTTCTGTTTAAATTCGTTAAACGTTTTAAAATATGATGCTAGAATAAAGTTAAAGTAATTATAATCAAGCACTATCTCGTTATATTTACAGCGAAAAGTTTGTTCACTTCTCATTGACATTGGTATCTCTGAAAGCTCACTATAAATTAAAGATTTCTTATCGTGACAATGTAAATTGTCTCTATAATTTAGTTTTATTACATATTATTATTATTATTATTTATGTTACTTTATTACGTGTTTTATACTTTTTATTTGTAAGTATTTTAATAACAGATTAAATTGTGTAAGTATATACAAAATGAAAGTATTTGCTTGATATTTTATTAGTTGTTACTTAAAATAAATTTTATCAGAATAACTTTTGATACTAATTTTCTTCTTCTAATATATAAATATCTCGTGTCACGGTGTTTGTGGTCGCATTCCTCTAAAACCGCTCGACCGATTTTAATGATATTTTTTATATACCTGGTAGGTATGAGAATAAGTTGTAAAGTATTTTTCACCCTCCTACCCCCACTCCCTATTTTTTAAGTAACTAAGGGCGAACCCGAGCGGAGCAAGGGCGAGTCGCTAGTGAAGCATAACATAAAGATATAACTCCAAAATTTCTAAGACATTATGGATAGGAAAATATTATAAAAAATAAATAAATAAATTGATCACAAGAAAAGATTATCATAATACTTAATTATTTTTTTATTTTCATTATTTATTAATGATTATAATTATTTATTATATTATTATCCACAATTTTTCATTGAATTTATGCCTGACAATTAATATTTATTATCTATCTATCTATTATTGTATTGTTTATACTAACAATATTATTATAAATAATACTATTGTTTATTTTTATAAAATATTACATTTTTGATTAATTAGTTATATACAAAGTTAATTATTAAAACTTACCAGAAATTGTCGCTAATAACGTCACTGCAATAATCCACATTTTTCAATTTTGAAAATATCGATTTGGAATTAAAAAAGTACAATAATATTGATTATTAAGTTCAACAACTGATTAATTATATATTTATTATTATTTATTTTAATATTTATTGTATGTGTACACAGTTTCGTATCCCGAAATGAACTGAGGCAAGAGCGAACCAATCGTGATGTTTTTATACATTTTAGGATATTTTTTGGTATTTGGATTCGCGGAGAGCGAGAGCGGTGTGAGGCTTCGTCGCTACTGCACCGACATGCCTCCTCTAGCTGTGATAAAGACTGTGTGACACACTGCCGCTGACAACGAAAGATTATAAATATAACAATACAATTTGTGTAACAGGTAATTATATTATAATGAATTATTTGTTTATGTACTAGCGACTCCTAGTTAACAGTAGCCTATGTTACTCTAAGTCTGATCTGGTTACATGACTCCAAGGAGTTGCAAGGGGGTGCACTTGTTGTCCACTCCCCTGGCATAAAAAAAATATTTAAATCGAATAAAAATAATTTTAAAAGGCTAGAAAAATATAATTTAAATATATATTTATTATTTATGGAATTTTAAGGAAATTCTAAACGTGTTTCGTCATGACTTTATCTCAATGGTCTGGATACAAAATTTCAGCCAATCGCCAAGCCGTTTTAGCGTGAACGAATAACAAACATACATACACTTAAAATCTTGCATATATAATACCAGGCCCATATGATAACTAGTATTGGTTAAGGCATCTAAGCTGCGGTACATAATTATAAATGTAAACAGACCGTTGGGAAGACTGCGCTTTTCAGTTGTGAAAATTTGTTCAGTTCATGTTTAATTTAAATTAATCAGAACTTTAATACACGGTTTTAAAGTTACTTTTATTAACAGATGGATATATTTCTATACTAGCGTTTTCCCGTGACACCGCCCGCGTCTTAAATTTACACCGTGGTTTAATTCGTACGAAATTAAAATTAAAATTGCTCCGCTCTCATAGGTTTTAGTGTTATGTAAGTTAGCCTATTCTTTCTTAATAAATTTTCTTTTCTTTATATTTCATTAATTTACTGAAGACCTTTTGGGAATATACAATTTACATCATAACAACATCTGTAAGAAAAAAAAAATTCTTAAATTATTATTTTCGTACAAAAATATAAATATTTTTATTACAACTTCTAAATGGTAGCAGTCCTAGCATTTGCAAATAAAGCGCATGGTCGTGGAGGGTGGAGTGGAAGGGGTGGAGGGGTGCAAGAGGCGGCGTTTACTCATTTTTTGACCAAATCCTAGGACTAATACCGTTTAGGCGCAATAAAAATATTTTTATACCTTTTTTATACCTTATAGAACGCAAAAAGGGTTTTTAATCGGGTCAGTAGATCCTACAATTAGCGGGTTTCAAACAAACAAATTCAGCAGCAGTATTGATAAAGAAAATGAAACATAATTTTTTACCATACGCTCATATTATTATACATACATATCTATTGTTGAGTGATTAGAAGTACATAATAACAATAATGAAAAGAATGCGTGCAAATGTCCCGAAAAATAAGATTGTAGATTTTATAAAACAGTACATTTTTTACATATCTGATGACAGATTACTAACTGATTAACTGCACCTTCCTTGGTCGTGGACAAAAACAATAAAAATATTTATAATATATTTTGCTTAATTACAATAATTTGATTTAATCATTGTAGATATTTATCTTATTAGTATATTATATTAAAATTAAAATACTTTAGTTTATCTATAAACTTAAGTAGATAATAATTGTCAATGCATAACTTTTCTTTATTTTGGATTTTGCGTTTTTTTTTTATACATATAATAAAATTGTGGCTAAGCCGAATCTATACTTTAAGTATGTTTGGAAAATCTTATTGAAATAGACATTAATATCGATACAGGGGCCAAATCTATTGTTTTTTTTTAATTTTTGTTTACCTGTCTGTCTGTGACCGTATCACGGAAAAACCACCGGAGGGATTTTGATGAGATTTGGTATGACGATAGCTGGTTATTCGGGTGAACATATAGGAGACTTTTTACTGCGGGAAAATATCTCATCTCTGAGAAATCTATACTAAACGTTAAAACGTAAGTAGGGACGAATCTGAGCGGAGCGAGGGTGAGTCGCTAGTAACTTATAAATTTCCACACAATGATAGAATAACATTTTATTGATTATATTTGTGTCCGTGACTTTATCTAAGTAAAGGGCCGATTTCGATAAGACTTTATTTTTTTTTAAATAAAGGTAGATGTTAAAATAACAACAACAATGTTAATAACAACAACAATGACGCGAACTAGTGATTTAAAAACTATCCAACAATTTGTAGTTTGAAATCCGTCACGGCCGTATGTCACCTAAAATGAATGTCTCTGCGCAGGTCACCTAATTTACTAATAAAAATCTCTTGGGAAGTAGCACCGCTGTAGTTTGTACGGTTTATATAAATTGTCCCGCCATTATCTACTAAAATACACCTGCTTTGAAGTACTTCACTTTTGAAGATTATGTAAGTTTACTGAGACGTTACATGTTTTTTTTAAATGGATTTTATTTTTTTTCTTTTGTATAATATTTGTATCTGTGGAACATTTTTAATGTATTCAAAAAAAAGTGGAAATATTTAACGACATGATTTATTTTATAAAATATACTGTTAAATAAAAAAAATATATAAGTACTGCTTAGTGAATGTGTAAGGTGAGTACTGTAATATGTTAACGATAAATTACGTTATGTAAAAATAAAATAAACATGCACATTTATTGTATACAGGGTCATTTTTAATTTACTGAAGACCTTTTGGGAATATACTATTTACATCATAACAACATCTTAAATAAAAGACTTATATTTTTATTTTCGTACAAATATATAAATATTTTTATTACAACTTCTAAACGGTTGCAGTCCTAGTATTATGAAAAGAAAGCGCGTGGCCGTGAGGGGTGGGGGGATGCAAGAGGCGGCGTTTACTCATTTTTTGACCAGATCCTAGGACTAATACCGTTTAGGTGCAATAAAAATATTTTTATTTTTGTATGAAAATAAAAGAACTATTATTATTTTTTTTACAGATTTTGTTATTATGATGTTAATAGTATATTCCCAAAAGGTTTTCTGTAAATTAAAAATGACCCTGTACATGTACGTGAATTTATTGTATTGATTATTGCTCGAAGTTTCACAATTTTGTGTAGGTTATACACATATTTAGTATTATGTGATCTGTGCACATATTAAAGGCAATGGTATACCAGTATCGTAGTAACGCTCACACTGGTGAAACTAAGTGAAGCGGGTTCGTATTCCTGTCTGCATCTCTTATATTCTCATGTGCACTCCTCCTTCTGCTACTCTCCTTACAGTGAAAGAGAACATCGTGAAGAAACTTGCATGTTTGAGAGAACCTGGTATCATAAGAGGTGTATTAAATTAAATCTTTATTAAATTATTTTATGCTTTTTAGTTTTTGAAGTCGTTTTTTTTTTTATTTGATTAACTAAACTACATTTAAATAATTTTTCCTACATTTACTAATATTAGAAATTATTTTTTTTTAGAAATTATAACTTTCAATAAAGCTTTACCATACAGTGTCGGGTAATTAAAAAAAATATTATGCTCAAATTTTAACCTCTGGTTGAACACCGCTAGTATTTAATATAAGTATAATTAACGTTTATTTATTTTGGAATGTTTTGACCGGCTTTAAAAAAAGACAAGGTAATATATTTGGCTGTATTTTTATTCATTTTATATGTATGTTGCGCAACACCATCGCCAATTGTAAATTGATTTTCATTTTTTAGCGATCAATAGAATATCAAAGAGATAGATATATAAACTTTATATTAAAAACATCGGAAACATTGACCGAGAAGTAAGGAACAGGATAAATGCAGATTGGATGAAATGGCGACATGATGTCTCGGTTTGTGATTCGCGTATGCATCTGAAGCTCAATGGGCAAATTTATAAGACCATAATAACACCTGTCGTAATGTAGGTATGGATTAGAATGTTGGGCAACGAAAGAAATATATGAAACATCGCCCGCGGCTTCGCCCACGTTCAGATGACAAAAAACTAAATTCTTAGGTTTTACATATTAGTATACTCTTACAGTGCAGTTTTTGTATTTTTTCTCAGAAATGAGATATTTTCCCGCGGTTAAAAGTATTTTATATGTTGACCCGGATAATTAGCTATCACCATACCAAATTTCATCAAAATCCCTTCAGTAGTTTTTCTGTGATGCGGTAACAGGCAGACAGACAAAAATTCTAAAAACTATAGATGCCGAATCTATAGTTTTTAGAATTTTTGTATCTCTGTATGGATAATAATGTTTATTTCAATAAGATTTTCCAAAAAATATTTAATGTACCTACAGATTCGGCTTAGTTACAATTTTATTATATGTATAGATGTGTAGAATGACTAGGATGGACAAGATTAGGAACTACTTAGTATATTAGAGAGATTTTTTTTCTACTCAAGTCAGTCTCTCTCCAGGCTATTATTGCTGTAAATCATTCGAACCGTCAGGATCTATATAAATCAAAATAAATCTCGAGAACATCCAAACAGATAGTTTTATTTAAAATGTCAAATATTCGTGTAAATCTAAGAATATATTATTGTATTGTCTCCTTAGCTTCAATCAGAAGCCAACAGAGATGTCTTATTACAATGATTAAGTGTCCAAGCTTGATTATATTTGAAAAACGAATTTGATAGATTAATCCATAAGTCAGATATGGTATTCCTCAGAAGGGTTTTGATTTGTTATCATTATCACATGTAAATAATCGCTTTCTCGTGCCCAGTGATTGACATGTTCTTGAGATATTGATAAGTGATATATGTATATACTCATATACAAAATGGCAATACCAATGTTATGAAATGCTGATTAAATAAGTTTACATTGTGTTTTTAATATTTTAATTAAGTGTACATTTATTGTGTATCTAT